TTGGTAAAGGTGGGTGTAGTTTAGGTAGCTGGGTAATTTGGGGGTTGTTAAGGAGAAGGTTTTCAAATGATTTAATCCTTTCACTGATTGTGATTCAGACCTATGCCCTCTTTTTCTTACCTCTGAATACCATTCATTATAGCTGTCCCACTTAAGATTTTTGATTTTCTGATTTTTTGAATTTTCTGATTAGTTTCTGCCTTAAATACTCTCATATGCAAAGTTTAGGTTCATCACTAGTCAAATCAATCCAGTGCTGGCAATATGAAGGACAGTCAAGGCCATATTTCTTATGCATTTGAAAGGCACATGTTCATTCTGGGGGTAATAAGAACTGCTGTATCTTCCCCCTTGCCTTTAGAACACATCTGTTCCATTTTAAAGAAGAACACTCAAAGATAATAACACTACTTAACAAGTGTACACAATACACAAATACAAATACTCTATAAGGGTGTATAACAATACAAGTACACAAATACAAGTATTCCACATTGCGCTAGCAATTCACTTGAATTACAGAAGTAAACATTCCACAACTCTAAGCATGCAATTAAGATGTTAATTTCAACCTGTTTAAAGGCATGCAAAACCAACCATGCAAGCAATTCTTAGGCAAAAAAAAATTTACTGCATGCAGAAATAAAACCTTCAGTGCATAGCTCAGACATGCATTTATAAAAGAGAGAAGAGAAAAACAGCAGGCCATAGCTGGCTCTGCATTATAAGAGAAAAGATACACACCAAAGCCAAATCCATGTGCTAACAGGCCTTACCAGCGAAATCTGGGCCAAGAAAAGGTCCCAGGAACATCCTTCACAATGAAAGGTGGGGCCTTTAACGAAGAGAGAGTAAGTATTGAACCTGCCAGACCAGGTGAGTTGGGACTCTGGGAAAAAATCCTGTCCCTTCTCCACCAAGTTAGGGGAGCTCAAGGCTTCTCCCTAAGTCCACCCCTTAAAAACTTCTGACACCAATTAATGTTAACAGGATTTTACTGAGCCAGTCTCTAACCTGAGAATGATGAAACAGCAGGCCAGAGACAAAGTCCCAGTAATCAAGTCCGATTAATTAGTTTTATTATTTGGAACAGATTTGCAAATCGGAAATTCTCCTGATCAGAATTCCACCTTGGCGAGGTGGGAAGGGAATGGAGAAGGTGGATTACAAACAGTCATTTCCAGGGCCAGAGTGGTTTCCCACGACCAGCCCACAAATCCCACAACACTAAGGTACAGGTGTCCTGAGGTTCTGTGGGAACAGCACTGTTCAAGTCTTTGGGGGTTGTTACCTGGTGGATCACAGGACCAAAGTTCTGTGTTGGGAACAGGTTCTACAGTCTTTGATTCGCTTCACCTCAGATACACAGGCACAAGGATATCAGTGATTGTGAGTGTTGTCAAAGTTTGATCATTTCAAGCTATATTGTGAGCTCTCTCTCACAAGAGAGGCAAGTTTGAATAAACTAATCTATTAGTATATTCATTCTATGTATCATATCAATTATTATAAAAATCATAATTCCCCTCACATTGGTATATCCCACAATGCCCAACTATAACCAACTTTCAAGACCTATTTTTCTTTGACTATTCCAGCTCTCATTGAGTTCTCTTTCTTTTGAACTCTTAGAATTGGTGTCACATAATTCATTACTTAATTTTATTTTCTCTCACAGTATTCTCCCTTTCTTCTATTTCTCACAACTGGATTGTAAGCTAGAAGGCAGAGACCATTTATAATTCTAGCAAAGTGCTGAGGGCATTGTGGGAACTCATTAAATACTTGTTTTTTCTTTATAATTTTCTCACTTAATTTGAAGAGATTCTAACATGAGGATGATGTAGTTTAAAATACTTGTTAATGATCCCTCTAACATTGGTCTCACAATCTCTTACCCTCATCTCCAGGGACCTTCATCTCTAGTTGAGCTTACCTTCCCTCACAGGGTTTTTGTTGTTATTGTGACCACATCTTTGAAGCTTCCATTGCTTGAAACTGCCAACCTAAAGATCACTGAGGTCTTCTCTGTAGTCCTCTTTCCTACCTCATCCTTATGGCCACAAAAACTACTTTATGTCCTGACTATGACCTTTGTCTAGTCCCTGGAACTGTTTCTATTCCTCCAGTCTCTTGCTTCTTATTCTGTCTTTGCTTCCAGCCTATTCCTTTTGGCTAGAAACTTCAAGCTACCCACAGTAGCTTGGGTTTTTACTTTCTGTTAGTGTCATCCTCCGAGTTTTTTATATTGGGCAATCCTTCTGACTTTTTTTTTTTTTTGCTTTGCTTTTTTGGTGAGGTAATCAGGGTTAAGTGACTTGTCCAGGGTCACACAGCTAGTAAGTGTCAAGTGTCCAAGGCCACATTTGAACTCAGATCCTCCTGACTCCAAGGCTAGAGCCCTATCCACTGTGCCACCTACTCCTCCTGATGACTTTCTGTTTCTGTTTCTAGGTGCTGGAGAAAGTCATGGATATGGTCTACTATAAATTCATTCAAATTGTAATCTTGGCTCATTGATGTTATTCAACAGTTGTTTTACTTTGCTCTTATGTTCTCTCTGTGTCATATCACAGCACTTTTAAACCTTTTCCTCTCTCAAATTCAGATCAATTCAATAAACTTTGTTGAATATGCAAGGCACTAATAGGCAATAAGTCTTCAGAGATGGTATCTGCCCTTAATGAAGCTGTTATCTAATAGGAAGAGATAAGACACATCTATAAATGTGGGGTCTGAAATTTTCTAATTTGTAAGAAAAACTAAGGCAGTTCCAAGTGAAATTAAAGTGTCCATGACCGCCTTTAATGAAGTAGACCTTCAATCTTCCTCACAATCTAAGATGCCCTTGGTCCCCCTTGTTTTTATAGGGTTTTATACCTAAATATGCAAAAGAGGTATAGTAAAATACAGAATCTCATTGACTGATAGACCTTACTCAGAGGGCAAAAAATGATGCTAGATGGCACCATGGTTGGAGCACTGGTTCTGGACTCAGGAGGACCTGAGTTCAAATCCAGCCTCAGACACTTGATACTTGCTGACTACGTGACCCTGGGCAAGTCACTTAACCCCAACTGCCTCGCCAAAAAAACCCAAAAATTATATTAGCCAAAAATTGTATATTAGCAAGTGAGTTATGGGTTGGGCAAAGCATGGAACATCTCTGGTGACTAAGTAGTCATAAGATGATCCCCTCCTCATGTTGGGCAAGAGAGGGTGGTCTGGAGGTACAAAAATAAGTTGGGGAACTTTTCAAAGAATCAAGGCATCCCACTCACACTAGGCCTGGACATGGAATTTGAGCAAAACAGGATGGAGATATCTTTGTCAGTATTCTTGTGGTTGCACAAATGAGCTTCATAACTGGTAAACAAGTAGTGAACATTACGTTAAAATTTGAGGCCTACTATCAAAACCTATCTTACCTAATTATCCCTACATGATTTACGTAAAATATCAAACTGAGTAATACTGATTGGAATAGAGTAGGAGTCTAAATGAATCGTTCCTCACATAAATAACTATTGATTAGAGGCAGAATATAGTAAATCCAAAGGAAAGGTGCATGTAAATTAATGAGAAATATAAGGAGAGAAAAATTATCTGTTTGGAAGGAATATAATGGAATGGTGGGTGCCTAAGTTGGGCTTTGATGGAAAGGAATATTTTAATAGGCAGGAATGGAAACAGCCCATTTGGGGGATGTGGTACAGACTTTGCAAAGGAATTCTAAAGCAGTGAATACTCTAATACAGAGTAGCAGATTCAGAACTCAAGGAATTCAGAGAAGGATAAAAGAATGTAAAATTCAAGACAATAAAGCTAAAAGAACATTTGAGAACTCTGGGCAACTCACTTTACCCCATTGCCTCACAGAAAAAAAAAAAGAAAAAAATGTAAGATATAGTAGTAAGACAAGAAAAAATGTTAATGAAATAAACATTTGTAAGGATGAGACAAAATTATCCCTATTAGTACAATTCCTAGCACATAGTAGGTGTTTAATAAATGATTGTTCATTTGACTTTGCACGTTATATAATAGTTTACTTAGAAGATAGCCAATAGATTCAGTAAAGTGACAGGATGTAAAATATGCCACAAAATCACTAGCACTTCTGCATAGTAGTTATTAGTAAAAGCCAGGAATAAGAGTTGAGAAGTTATACTTAAAATAATTCAAGATGCATACAATATCAAGGAATTAACTGTCAATAGGGTGAAAATTCATGATAATTTTGACTTCATATAGTGAAAAATCCATTGCAAAAACAAAATCAGTGCAGTTAGGATAATAAGGAAAGATGTAGAATTGGAAAAAGATATTTGTAGAGACACCTAAATAAAAAGACTGACATCCTAAATCCATAAGTAATAGATAAAAATTTATGTGATTAGGAGCTATGAGTGATTAAAAAATATGAACAGTTTTCCAAAGAAATAAACATATACCAACAACCATGTGAAAAATGGTTCCAAATTACTAATATGAAAATCAAAACAATTCTGATGTATTACCTTGAGTTTATTAGATTGACAGAAAAAAAAATGGAAAAGGTAAGAAAAATCAATGATACTGAGTCTGAGAAGAGACAGATACACTAATTCACTCCTGGTAGAAGTTCAAATTAGTATCCCCATTCTGGGAAATAATTGGGAATTTGCAATAAAGATTGCTAAATTGTTTATACTCCTCATCTGTGCTTTTTATTCACTTATCACAGTCTGATTTGTGTTATACTTATTCATGTTTGTGTCTTATTTCTCACAAATTGTATATACTTCAGGGAAGGAACCACATCTTATTTATTTTTGCATCATTCTCAGTGCCAGTCATAGTATTTTGCATATAGTAGGTGCTCAATAAATGTCTGTTGAACTGAACTACACGCAGGGGACGCTTCTGGTGCCAGCAGCAACGATTAATTAGAGGAACAAACTGCTAGGGGTGAAGTCCATTTGAGCTACTACTGAATTTTGCTTATCTTCCAAAACTAGGGCAAGCCATGGCACCAAGGTGATGACTTCTGAAGAGCTGATAGAAATATTTGGAAAGAAGAAATGGAAACACTTTACTGACTCTTTAATGGCTTCTCGCACAGGTATAACATGTATGGCCTAATGACCCAATGATATAGGGGAGGCTAACTTTATTTTGGCTTTGGTTCCCATGCAAAACAATTATGTGCCCTAGGTAACTCAGAAGGCAAGCATTAGTTGCTTTCTCGCTTAATGAGATGGTAGCGGCAACTGTAGTATAGTGTCAAGAACATGTAGCATGGTCTCAGAGGACCTGGATTAGAATCCTGTGTCTTCTGTGTACTAATTGTATGATCGAATGCAACTCATTTAATGTCTTTGGGATTCCGTTTCCTCTATAAAATGAGAAAGGTGGTCTCTGAGGTCCTTTCTAAAGAATGATCTGTGCAGTGACCGTGTATGTGGTGTTCTAGGCAGTTAGAGGAACTGGGTGCTGTTATTCTTCCTTCTTTTAATTTTAAATTTAATATTTAAGGCTTTCCTGACTTTGCTTTTTTCCTGGGAAAAGAAGGACTAATAACATAATAGTATTAGGAACCACGCCTAATGTGTTGTAAAGTGGAGGGAGTGTTAGACTTGAAGTCAGAAAGACTCCCTTAGACACTTACTTAGCTGTGTGATCTGGACAAGTTTTTTAACTTCTCTGGCCTCAGTATCCTCATCTGTGACATGAGAGAGCTGGACTCAATGTCCCCTAGAATCCTTTCCAGCTCTAAATCTATCGTCCTATGTAATATTTTGTCTTTGTTGCCAGCTCTTTGAGAAAGCTAGATGGCACCAGTGGATAGAGAGCTGGGCCTAGAGGCAGGAGGACAGAGTACAAATGTGACCTTAGACATGACTAGCTGTGTGACTCCTGGCAAGTCGCTTAACCCTGTTTGTGTCAGTTTCCCACATCTGTAAAATGAGCTGGAGAAGGAAATGGCAAACTACTCCAGTATCTTTGCCAAGATCACCCCAAATAGGGTCACAAAGAGTCAGGCACAATTGAACAACACCACTACCACTCACTACCAGCTCTTTAGATGTTAAGTTCCTGGCTCCTTTAACTTCTTTCTATCCCTTCATTGATGTACTTTACTCTCCTTTTCTATTGTGGAACAGCTTAGGATGATAGTTTCAGAGCTAGAAGCTAACTTCACCATCACCTTTTTGTTAACAAACATTTATTAAGTACACATACTAATATGTGCCAGGCACCGTAATAAATGCTTAGAGTGTGTCTTGTCCAATATCTTCATTTGGCAGATGAAGAAAACTGAGGAATTGTGACTTGCAGGAGGTCACAGGGCACAAGGTAGTTTTTCCCACTGTAGTCATCGAAGTATAGTGGGAAGAAGTCCAGAGACCTGAGTTCTAGTTTTGGCTAGAATGAGCTGTGTGAAATTGGCAGGTCACCAAATCTGAGCCATAGTTTCTTTATCTGTAAAATAACGAGGTTCCATAAAAAAGTAAGAATTATTTTAGTTGCTGTCATAAACATTGACTATTTTATTTTTACTTTAGTACATATGCCGTATTTGCTAGTGTTTATAAATTTGAGAGCATAATATGCCTACTCTTCCAATTTTAGTTTGTAGTTTGTGTTTAAATAGCTATTCAAGGAATTGGGTTTCTATCTGTAAGTTAAAATGGTACTGAATTGTTGCCTAATGTATCATTTGAACCTTCTTTTTGAATGGCTGGTGTGAAGATTTTAATAGCTGAACTTGAGAGTTTTATCCCCTCCCATAAAAAAATTCAGCAATCCAAACATTTTCATTTGTTTCTTACTAATATATATTTTTCACCTTTTGGAAGCATGAAGTTTATATGTTTTGAGTTAGGATGAAAATGTCAGGAAGAGTGTTCTAGCCCTAATAATAATAATAGTAACAATAAATAATTATATAATACATTTGTAATACAACATATACTAATGTGATATATAATAATAATGCTATTTCTAAACTAATGATTTCTACATTGATGATAAAAAGTTACCATTATTATTATTATTAGAAAATTTTAAAATAAATTAGTAGAATAATAGATTTCACATGATGGTTTGATACATAGGGTTTTCAGAGATCAAAATTCAAGATTGTGGGAACTATGTTTGTTGGATGAGAGGTTTCTAGCCACTCTGCTTATAAAAGGAAATATCAATGACCCTAGAAGGGCTATTTCCTTAAAGTTTTACTTTCTCTTAGAAGAGTTCACTTAAAGCTTCTTTTAAATGTCCTTCAGATTAATCCATTACCTGGAATGTCTGTTGTCAGCAGAAATAGTATCTTAAACATTTTCCACCTTCTGAACTTCTCCTTCTGTAGATTAAAGTGTTACTATTGCATGATTCCCACAAGGTGTCACTCTTTCCTCAAATTAGCTAAGCTCTTGCTTAAACATCATACCAATTATCACCTTGCAATGCTTCTGCTTATCTCTGGTGAATGAATTCAGGATTATACAGACTTTGAGCTGAAAGAGACCTGTGAGAAGACTATCAATTTAACCCTTTTATTTTACATATGAGGAAACAGAAACCCAGGGGGGTTTTGACTTGTCCAAGATCATATGGATAATGATTATCAGAGGTGGGATTTAAAGCCAGAACCTCAGCATCAGTGCCCTTTCTACTGTATCACTTTCAGGACTACGCTGGGATTAGTTATAGGATTTGCCTTTTGGGGGTGAGGTAAGGATTTGCCTGGATTATGTGCTTTGTAGTTAGATTATATTATAGTCAAGTTTTGATAGGTGGGTGGGTGTCCACTGCTTTAGAGCTGCGGAATAATAAGAAAGATAGAGTGCTTCTGTTCTGAGGAATTCTATAAATCTTTTTTTATTAATTTATTTTGATTTATCAACAATCACTTCTATATGTTTTTGAGTTTAAAATTTTTCTCCCCCTTCTTCCCCACCACCCTCCCCAAAACAGTGCACAATCTGATATAGGCTATATATATATACATTCTTATTAAACATATTTTCAAATTAGTGATGTTGTAAGTAAAAATTAGAACCAATAGGAGGAACCACCAGAAAGAGGAAACAAAACTCAACAGAAGAGAAAAAAAATAGCAAATACCATGCTTCGATCTGCATTCAAATTTCGTAGTTCTTTCTTTGGATGTGGATAGCATTTTCCACATAAATCTTTACTTACGTAAAGCTTATGTCATTGATAAATAGATTGAATCTCAAAATTCCTCAAGAAATTCATATATAATAGTAGCAGCTAATATTCATATAATTCTTTAAGGTTTATAAAGCTTTTTACATATATCTTATTTGATCCACATAATGACCCAGTAAGGTAGGTGCTATTATTATCCCCATTTTGTTTATGAGACAGGTGAGGCTGACAGAGGTTAAATGACTTCTCACTATCCTTTGTTGGCTCCTCATCCATGTCATGGCTTCTAATTGTTGGTGTTCCATGGGGCTTTCTCTGGGCCATCTTCTCTAAGATCTCTTTAGATCTACATCCTCAAAGTTCCCTGAACTTCAGTGCAGTACAACCAATTGCCTACTGGATATTTCAAACTAAATATTTCAGAGATGCCTTAAATTCAGCATGCCTAAAAGTGAACTCAGCAATTGTTCCCCCTAAACTCTCTCCCCAACTTCCCTTTTTCTGTTGAAGACACTACCATGCTTCCTATGACTCAGGTTTGTAATCTAGACACATTCCTAGATTCCTCACTCCACATATCTGGTCATTTGCTACATCTTGCTGTTTGTGTCTGTCACGTCAGATTCCTCTCCACTCATGCACGTACCACCTTGCTTTTTTGCTTTCAGTGCTTATCACCTCTTACCTGGCTTATTGCGGTATGCTTCTAATTGGTCTCTCTGCCTCAAAGCTCTCTACACCCTGTAACCAAAATAATTTTTTTTAATTGAAGATCTGATCATGTGATTCCCCTACTCAGCCAACCCAGTGGCTTTCTATTGCCTCTAGAATAAAATATAAACTCCTCTGTTTAACTTTTAAAGATCACTACAACCTACTGCCAACCTGTCTCTTCAATCTCCTTGGATGTGACTCCCCTGCTATACTCTGCAATCCAGTCAGACTGGCCTTTTCCGTATTCTTCATTCACACCAGTCTATGCTATACCTGTGTCTTTCCACTGCCTATCTTACATACCTGGAATGTACTTTTTTTTTTTACCTCTGCCTTATAAAATGTGACTCAAATGCCATGTTTGGCATGAAGCCTTTCTTGATCTTTCAGCTGCTCGGTCCCTCCTATAGGACCTTATATTTAACTACTTTGTGTGTGCTTATGTGTGTATATATACACTGACATATTATGGACACATTAAACACACATAGCATGTAATACTTTTATTAATCTTATGTAAGAAATAAATAAAAGCCTTTCAGCTGCTAGGTCCCTCCTATAAGACCTTATATTTAACTACTTTGTGTGTGCATATGTATGTATACACAAATATTATAAACACATGTATATTGCATGTATACATACATGTGATACATTTATTAATTTATTAACTTACATTTATTAACATATATTTTTATATGTACTTGTCTCCTCTATTACAATGCAAACTTTGTGTGAGTAGGGCTCATTTCATTCTATGTACTTGTATCTATCCCCAGCACCTAGCAAGGTGCCTGGCACATAGTAAGTGTTTAATACTTGTTGGTTGATTTACTTAGTGTCACATCTATTAGACAGAATTGGAAATCAGTCCATTTTGATTCTAAATACCATACTTTATCCACTATGACACTTACTTTCCATTTATACTAATTATTACATGTGTTATTGTTAAAGAAACTGTTAGTATAACTGAATCACCTAACTAGAATTAAAACCTATATCAGCAGACAATATAAACTCAGGCCCTCATAATCCCTTTTAAAACCATAACCCTGGTATTCCAAAAGTAAATGTGTTGTGCTTTTGTGTCTAAAGACACTGCCTCTTAATTGACACTATCATTAGAGGACAAGGACTTGTCCTTGTCTAGTGGTTTGGGGTTTGTTTGTTTTTCTAGCAGTGGCAGTGGTTTATGTTAAATCTCTCACACATCCTTGTTGCTATCTCTGTCATCAATAAAACAAATTAGAAAGATGAGTGGGAGAGGAATAGGAGTGCAGATCATTCCTAGGGGACAGAATTTTCTTAGTGCAAGAAATGCCTTTATCGAGATGTTTAAACCTGACCTTGATCTTATCCGTACAGTGTTCTAAGTCATGAAACTAAAAGTTGTCAGAGAACTGAAAGAGAGGGTAAGGTAAAGGTATAAGGTTGTAGCTTTCATAAAGAAATATAGTTGACTCCCAAATCAGCCCATCCAGTGGAGCAGGCAGCATATTGGAAAGCAAACCCTGGTGGATGCTATGGAAAGAATGCTTGTTTCAAATCCCAACTTTATCACTTGCTTTCTCTAACAGGTCACTTATCCTCCGGGCCTCAGTTTCCTTATCTGAGGGGATTGAACTAAGAGAACCTCTAGGGCCTTTCCAGTTCTAAACATTTTATCCTAAGGTCCTCTCAGGTCCTTATCTGAGGGGATTGAACTAAGAGAACCTCTAAGGGCCTTTCCAGTTCTAAACATTTTATCCTAAGGTCCTTAGTTTGAAAAGCACAGACATCCTAACCTTTAGAGTTCCTTTCTCCCTCAGTGCTGCCCTTCTTTGCAATGTTATTGGAAAGAGGAATGAGATAACATGACTATGGTGGAAATATGTTTTACATGATTGCATGTATGTAGTCTATATCTTAGGGAAGGGGGAGGGGTAGGAGGTAAGGCGAAAAAAATTGGAACCCAATATCTTATAAAAAATAAATGTTGAAAATTGTCTTTACATGTAATCAGAAAAAATGAAATACTATTGTTTTTTTAAAAGGAGTGAAATTGTTCAATTCAGCCTGCTATTTGCTAAACATTGTGCTAGGTAGTGGAGGAGGTCCCTGCCATCATGACATTTGCTGTCTAGAAGGGGGATATGCACATACAGAAATAAATAGTATAGCATGAAACATAAGTGCCGAGGAAAGGTGTAATCAGAGTACTATGTAAGGTTTGAAGAGGGAAGATCATCACTACTTGGGTGGATCATGGGGTTTAATTTTAATGTATGAGGTAACATGTAAGTTCTTTTTTGAGGATGCTTAGGATTTCAACAAGCATTCTAGACATAGGGAGCAATATAAGCAAAAATCTGGTAATGGGAAACTATTTTATGGAGGTAAGAAGAAGAATCATTTGGCTAGAGTGTTGCATATGAGGTATCATATAAGTTAAAGCTGGAAAGTTAGGGTGACACTAGATTTTTAGAGAGCCTTGAATACCAGGATAAGTAGTAGAACATTCCATCTTCAGCCAGTAGGAGCTCAGTGAATGCCTCACACATAGCAGGCAATTAATAACTGCTTGTTGGTTTGATCAAATCGATAAAAATAATTAATGTTCAAGCACTGTGAAGGATGGTTTGGGTTGAGGGGGAGGGAGTAGAAATGGGAAGACCTGTTAGGGAAGATACTATAATAAGAGAGAGATGGGGAAGAGAACAAGCATTTATTAAGCACCTCTTGTGTACTAAGCACTTTACAAGTTTTTATCTTATTTAATCCTCATAACTACCCTGGAATATAGGTGCTATTATTATCCCCATTTTACAGTTGGAGAAGCTAAGGCAAACAGAGGCTAAGTGACTTGCTCAGAGTCACACAGCTAATCAATGTCTGATTGAATTTGATCAGGCTTTCCTGACTCCAAATCCAGCCCTCTATCCACCATGCCATTTAGCTGCCTTCTAATCCAAGTGAATGGCAGTGAAGTCCTATTTGGTGAGAGTACGTTAGATCTAGCCTGACCCAGATCCATCATGCTGCTTTCTATCCATCTTCATGTCATGGTGACCCCATGTACCTTTCCTACTACCCCCTCCTATGGTTTCTCAGACCAAACACTCCTCCCTGTCCCTTACCCTCCCATATGTGTTGTCTTTCTCTATTAGACTGTAGGCTCCTTGAGGCCAGAGACCATCTTGCTTTTTGTATCCCCAGGGCTTAAAATACTTTTTCATTTATCCATGCATTCATTCATTTGTTCTTTTACTAGAATAGTGGCAACAGGAATTAAGGGGAAAGGATGTAATTAAAAGGCTTTGTAGAGGTAGAATCAGTGGAACTTGGCAGCTTATCACATCTGAGAGGCAAGAGATGTGGATATGGAGCTCAGAAGAGAGATTAGGGCTAGACAGAGATTTGGGAATCATCTGCATGATTGTAGAAGTGGAGGCCCTGGGAGTGAATGAGGCTGCCATGTATATAAGAGGGGAAAAAGAAGCCCAAGGACAGAACTTTGGGGAACAACCCTCCCTGAAGGAGGAAAAAGGGGGAGGAGCCCTCTCAAAAGAGACAGAAAAAATGGACTTAGAAACCTAAGGTAGTATGATGTTTTAGAAGTCATGGAGGAATAGATTGCCTACAAGGAGGAAGAAGTAAACAATGTCAAAGGAGATATAGGAGAATCATGAATAACAAAAGGCTACTGAGGTGGGTAAGGGGGATGTCTAAACTTCCCCAGCTGTAAAATGGGGATAAGTATTCTGTTACTTTTGAGAGCAATTTGTGTAGATGGGGAAAGTCCGAAACACCGAAGAGATTATCTGGCAATTGTACTTGGCTGCCTCAGTGTTTCATTTATATGGACAATTAACAGTCACATTTCATTAGATGTAAGTGCTCTGAGGGCAGGAACTATTTCATTTTTTTCTTTGTATCCCAAGCAATTAGCACAGTGTCCAACAGATAGATATTTAATAAATGGTTTTTGATTGATTGAAGGTGAAATAAATTGAGGAGAGGTCCTTGAAGCAGTTTGTTGCCTACCATTTATTGGTGTGTGTGTGTGTGTGTGTGTGTGTGTGTGTGTGTGTGTGTGTGTG